CACACGGCTACAGTTGAAGTCAACAAAGCTCTCAAGCTGGAACTCCCTTGGCTAAAAAGAAAGGAGCTTCTAGAAGAGGCAGTGTTCATGAGGGAGCACAAGTCTTACAATTCATGCCCCTTTGGTTTAAAATAGGCTGAGTCTTTTAAATGTCTGGTAATGACATACATACATAGGCAGATAGGTTCTATTTCAGCAAATTGTGACAGTTGGAGATATATTTATTTTTAGTGGAAATAAGAGTGTTAGGAGAGTTTGAGTTGCAATGTGCCATAGATTTCTTCGGGTGGGGGAGGCTTCAGAGGAATATACTTTTTTTTTTTGGTTTTGTAGCTATGTATAGTAGTTTAATAAATGGCAAAGATGCCTAAAATCCAAGAGCTTAAATACAACAATATACAAAAAAATCTATCTTAAGTCCCGATAAATATTTATTATCCAGATAAACTTATGGAGGCCATGTTAAAATTGCCTTGGGAAAGCATGACTTAGAATTGTTCACCTAAAATCCCAAAGTTAATATTGCAGCAATATATACTTTTTGTGTTCAGGCTTTATTTGTTTTTTACCATATATATCCTGGAACCCTAAGGGCATGTCCCCACCAGTACACACGTGCAGTTTGCCATGCTGCAGACTGCACACACCGTACAAGCAGGTGTTTGCTGCGCTGCTAATTTGTAGCGCGGTGGGTTGTTTTTTAAATTGGGACATCCCAGTGTCAAAAGAGACCTGCGCTAGAAAAAAATGGGGTGGAGCATATGGCAGCAGTGTATGTCACCTGAAACTGGAGCCTGGCCAGCCAGAGCCACACCCTGGCAGCCAGCCCTGGTTCTATGCGCCTGCATTGCTGCTGCTGGAGCCTCATGAGACCCTCAGAACTACAGGTAAGGCTACTTGGGCAGCCCAGGTACTGGCCTCAGCCTTCCCTACCTCACCTGGGGCAACTTGTCTCACCCCAGAGCATGCGTACAGGGGTGTTCCCAGGGACAACTAGTAGCAGCAGCACAAATATGTGCTGCTGCTAGCTGTCCCCGGGGAAAGCACAT